GATCCTGTGGGAATTTCTTCCAGGTGAGGATGACAGAGTTCAGAAGTGGAAATGGACAGAGAGAGAACCAGCTGGCCGTCAAGGCAGCTAAGAACGCTCCAGCCCTGTATGACTTGGATAGAGGCTTGTAAAGGAAGGGAACCTGAGAAACACTGCCCTAGGTGCTGTTTTGAATCAAGGAAAAAGTGATAACTATATTAATCGGATCCAATTCTTGTCCCTTTTCTACTCTTGCTGCTGAAGCTACTTTGGTAGTGTTCTAGACAGCTAAAGAGCCAAATTCTCCTGTGTGAGTGATTTAGGAGCCATGGTTTGTATTTTCTTGCCTTCTCAGCCAAATGATGGGAAGAAACTGGTTAGGAGAAAAAATAGCTTCTTTCGTTCTCCTGAAAAGAGATGAGAACAAAAATTTGGAGAATTCCAAGTAGTAAAAGGCTAGAGAGAATGTTCTCAATAGAGGTTTATAAATAGAATCACAGATATCTTCCTACAAATAAAGTTGGGAGTATTTTTCTGCCACCTAGAGCTTCCAGCTTCAAGCTTCCAGCTTCCAGCTTCATGCCTCTCTCCATCTCAATATCTCTCTGTCCTAAAACCTTTGCTAAGAATGGCTCACATGGTCCACATGAGGCAGCCCACACAGACAGAACACCCTACATATGCATTGATCTTGGGAAGAGTTGGACCTGGGGTACCCACTGGTTATCCTCTAAGCTCTCACACAAGTGAGAGACAAAAATCTCATGAGACACTTTTCTATGACTTTCCTATCTGCTTACCCACACACAAGAAAATTCACACAGGAGAAAATTTACACAGGAGAACAGCCATTGCTGCAAAGTAAGTGGCGAAGCTAGCTGCAAGTCTAATATGGTTCATTGCCTGTACTCTTCATTGCGTGGGCTACAAAGCCCCGTGTGTACCAGAAGTTAGGCCAGGGCTTTAAGCTGCTCTGGCACCATCATTTCCACATGGAAATTCAGTCTCACTAGTGCGTAGAGTAAAAAAAAAAAGTGGCTGACTTCCAGGCGGCCTCCTCTAGCACCAGATACATCTATGCAATGGGACTTCAAGAGGCAACCAGCCTCCCACTGCCATTTGCCCCTAGCAGTGAGAGGCTCTAAACACATGGAAACCTCTGATGAGGGTTCCAACTTGACCTAGCACCAACCAATCCAAGGTAGTGGTCCACTGATCTTGTTCTACCAATGTGTGCTGGTGAGGAGGAGCCTTGTGTGTATCCCAAGCTGAGCAGCCACTTTGTCCACATCATCATTCCCTGGTGTGCAGCAATACTGTGGCAGAACTGTTCAGTGTGCAGCCAAGGCTTATGGTCCAGCCAACTTGGCCCACACTGTAGGTAGGGCCCACACTTGAGCAAGCCCTCACAAAGGTTCTCAATGTGAGAGGGGCTCCTGTGTGAACTGCTCCCTCACCTGTATGCAGAATAAAAGCCCAGTTAAGAGGCCTTCTGTCACACTACAAGGGATGTTCCAGTGTATCAAGATTTGAAGTCCCAGGAAGAGACCAGCTACAGCACAGGCCTTTTGGGGAAGAACAAAGGAAATGGGAGTTTTTGTGTACAGTTGGGTCATCTTCTGGCCTGACATTTGGAACAGGCCCTGAGATAAACCTCTACTCTTGCAAATTAAGAGCAGCTAGAAAACAACATTTTTTTCAGAGCAGTGGTTCTCTCAAAGTTTAGCAGGCATGATTCCAACCCTGGAGGTTCTAATTCAATAGCTAGGGACAAGGCCCAGGGAGCTGGCTACATTTTAAAGAGATAGCATGTGATTCTTTGGCAGAAGGTCTTACTTTGAAAAATATTGGCCTAGAGCAGGTTTTAGCTTTGGGTCACAAACATCTTTGCACATCCGGTTCCTAGAAAGGTGCATATAACATTCTCCAAAATTTTAGGGGTCTTTAGAATTCAATTCAGTACTTACCCTTATTTGAAATGTTGAACAAGCTAGAGACATGGCCTGACCTCTCACTCTGGCCATATGGATGGGCTCATTGTATATGGTGCAGCCCAGCATTCGTCCTGATGCACCAGTAGAGCCCCAGGAAAACTCTCTTACTGGATTAAATTGCTTCAGTTTCTGAACCTCAAAGACCTGCAGTAGCAGAGAGAAAAGGAAGGTCTACCTCTGGTGGAAGTATCCATACCACGAAAGGAGGAGCTAAGAATGGAGTGAGGCTGAGGCTTAAGTATTTCATGACACTCAATAATTAATTTAATGGTAGAAAGTTAGGTCACAAACACAGGAAGAAGAGTTAGGTCTCGTGTTTGGGCCCTGAGCAAGCCTTGCAAACTTCAGAGCACTCAGAGAAAGTAGTAATTATGATACCTTTAATTGGCAAGCTGAGGCCAAGGTCCAGAGTTTGAGCTGAGAACTGATATTGCAAGCTGGGCTTTCCCCAGGCAGTGCTGAAGGTTAGTGGAGATGGGTTGTACGCTGGCTTCTCTACGGAAACAAAACCTGGTACAGAGTTAGCTCCTACTGCCAAGGTACTTCTTCTCACGAGATGTCCCATTTATGACAAGGTGGTACACAAGCCAATCCTCCCAGAAAAGCTTAGGGGAAAGGAAGTCTTGGTGAGCTCAGATTTGAAGATTAGGTTGGAATCAAGTCAGTTCATTCTTCACATGACCAGTATGTTTTCCTCAAATCTTCTACATTTTTTTACAAGTTTCTCCAGGTTGACAAATCTGGTTTCTTCCTGCCTAAGGTAGGCCAGACATGTGGTTGACTTGGGTAAAGAAGGCAATTACACACAAGCCGGCAGAGGACATAACTCCTGCTATTCTTTGAGGTAAAGGGTCATCTTGACCAGAGGCAGGACAGGGTCTGCCTGTGGCTGGCTGCTTCCATCACCTGGATAAGGCTGGGCTCTGACCACAAAGGAATTAGTAATAGGTGGATAATGGAGTCACACGGTGGTAGGGGAGAGATTCTGGCAGAGCTCGGGAATATAGGTACAGTTCCCTCTGGCTGCTAACCCCAAGTGTTCCTGGCCTAGTTCCCCTTGGTTCATAATGGTAGGTACCAAAAGTGAGTGAAGATCAAGCTTTGCTTTTGTTTGCCCTGAACTCTCATCTTAGGCTGGTTTCTCCCTTGCCTTGATCTGCTATGTGGTCATTTTGTCACTCACTTTGTACTGGTCTGTCCCAAGTCCAGGTCAGTACCTGGGTCCCCTCAAAGGTAGTGAGCAGATACCTCCAAACCCTGGCTGAGACACTGGCAAGAAATTCAGGAATGTTTTGGTAAAGACAGCAGTAAACCAAGAACCCAGCCATCTGGAACAGGTTGCTTAGCCTTACCCAGTCTCAGTGTTCCCAACTGCAGAAGGATGGAGCTCAGATCTCTTCCGGGCTGGGTCTAGAGCACTAAGGCCTGAGCCGCAGTGCTCTCCCAGGGAGGTCCGAAGACTGGAGGGTGCTCTCAGGGCCTTCCCCTTCCAAACCAGAACTATCGAGCAGCTGAAAGCGGTGCTGTGGTGCGGCGGAAATGCCACTGGTTCAGGGCAAAAGATTCAGTCCTGACTGGGCTGTGTTTGCCAAGCAAGACGCTCCCTTCCTCAGGCAGTTAAGAGGGTAAAATAAGTTGATAGACAAGACAGTACTTTGGAAACCACAAAATGCAATGTAAGCAAGGTGAAATAAAGCCTGCTTTTACTTCTCTCCTGCCACCTTTTCACATATATGCTGTCTTCCTGAATCACTGATTCAGGAAAACTTGAATGCCATAGCCCATGGTTTGCAAACTCCAATGGCCACAGAAGTCCAACAGATCACATAAACAAGTGGAAAATACAGATGGAGAAGGCCTGCTTTGCCAGAGACATGGGTGCCAGCTGATGCTGGTCAGGAGTTAACGAGGAGTGGAGGGCATCCCGAACTAGAGGGCACAAACTCTGGCTCCATTCGAAGGGGAAGGTTGTCCCCGGCTTCCAACTGTGGTTTTGTGAGAGCTTAGGTCGAGCTGCCAAATCTTTGGATTTTTCAAGGGAAGCCAGAAACCTGGACTTTTGTGTGAAATCTTAACCAATAATTTGTAACATTTTAAAATGCTTGCTAGGCTAATAAATAAAAATACATGGCCATCAGTTATTAACTTATGCAGTAAAACGACAATGGGTAAAACAAGGTTCTCCTCTACCTCAATCCTCTTAACACATCTGAGAAACAGCCTTTTCTTCCCCACAGCTGAGGTCTCCTCGGGGTTATTACCTCAACCCTAACTCAGCAAAGGGGACTTCCAGGGTCTGGGACAGTACAGAGGGCAGTGTCAGCAGATCAAGCTAGTGAGGGCCTAACATAAGATGGTTTTCACCCCCAAGGTCCAACTCTTGCACAAGGAATTCTGTAAGCCCACTGGAACCACCACTGAGGTTCAGGACTGAGCCCAACTTGGGCCTCAGGCAACGTCTAGATCTTCACCCTTTGTCTTTTCACTTTTGAGGCCATCACCCACACTCTTGGAATATCTCTGGGTAGTGCTGGAAGCCCACAGGTGGGTCGAAGTCCCCTTGGCCAGAGGACAGGGGCACGGGCAACCCACTGGCACCCCAGCCCTTGCGACCTTTGGCACCAGGCCTATGGACCCACTGGTGCTTGGCCATGGCTGACTTCTGGCTGAAACACCTGCCACACTGAGGACAGGGGTAGGGGCGCTCCCCACTGTGGGTACGCCGGTGGGCTGCCATTTCGGAGCTCTGTCGGAAGCAGCGCCCACAGTCTGGGCATGGGTAGGGCTTCTCGCCTGTATGGGTACGCACATGGCGCCGAAGATCTGAGGCATGAGCAAAGGCACGGCCACAGTCCGGGCAGGGGAAGGGGGTCTCGCCACTGTGGACCCGCTGGTGCTGGTAGAGGGCAGAGCTCTGGCTGAAGCAACGACCACAGTCAGCACAGCGATAGGGCTTCTCACCCGTGTGGACCCGTAGGTGGGTGGTGAGGGCAGAGCGCTGGGTGAAAGCCCGGCCACAGTTCAGGCAGCGGTGGGGCCGCTCTCCACGGTGGATGGCCCGATGCTTGCTCAGAGAAGAGGCCTGGCTGAAGCCCTTGCCACAGTCAGGGCAACAGAAGGGCTTCTCGCCCGTGTGGGTGTACAGATGCTCCACCAAGGTGGAGCGCCAGGCAAAACTCTTCCCACACATGTAGCAACCGTGACGCTGGTCTGCCCTGGGGACAGGGGGATGGGCACAGAGTGGGGGGCGACCCCGGCGTGGCACTTTGTACGGCTGTCCCAAACTGTAAGGGAGCCCAGCAGAAGGGGATTTGAGAGCCTTCAGCTCAGGAGGCCATGTGTCCATAGAAAGGATCTTCCCCAGTGCTTCGGCCCCTTCTCCTTGTCCTTTGTCCTCCTTGTTTCTGGAATCTGCTGGGAGATAAGGGGAGAGCTCAGACCCTGGCTTATCCAGGTCATTGAATCCCTCATCCCATATGGTGACAGAGAAGCCTCTTAGGTATAGCCACCTTCTAGACCCATAGCTTCCTCTAGGACTCAGCTTAGTATAGGCAAGGAAGCTAGGAGTAACACCTTTTCCTCAGCTGTAGAGGACAGAAAGAAAAGCAGCAGAGACAGAGTAGGAAGGAACAGTACATTCCATCTCAGGGCTGGGGAAATGGCTGGGGAAGAGACGGATGACATTTTAGCTGGATCATGCAGGATGAGTGGATGCTTAAGGATGCTTCAGGCAGCAGGAACAGCACAGAGACATTAACCTGTGTGGCATGGACAAGTTCTGAGGAGCTGGGCATTGTGCAACAGGTCGACAGGATGAACTAGAAGAAAACAGTGGAAACCAAGAGAAAGGAGACTGCTAAAAAATATATAACAAAAGGGAAGTAAACTAAAACACAGAAGGTGGCAGAGGAGTTAGATGTAGGAAAACAGGAGAGATGATATGGAGTTCAACGTAACCTAGAGACCAACTAGATTGAGGGGCTCAGATCCACAGCAGTTGGGAAAGGAGTGGCACGTATGCCAGAAACCCGCACCACGGCAAGGCCTGGTCACGCTCACAGGCCCTTTCTAGGCTGGATCCAGAAGTTAGGCAGGACCTAGGCATAATCACCTTAAGCTGGGGAAGCAATTCTGAGAAGAAACTGATGAAAGTAGGAGTTGGTAGAGGGTAGCGGGACGAGGAAGTCCCCATGACGCAGAGTCCCCAATACTTCACCTGTGTCTGCCTCTGTCATACACTCTTCTATCTCCGGATCTCGGGCATCTGGACCCCACAGTTCAGCCTCTTCTTCCACCCAGGAGATGAGGGCGGGCTTGGTGCCTCGGAATCCTGGGGAAGAAGGACATATACCCCACACTGCGGGGAAGCCGCTCCCCCCTCACCCCCGCTGTCCTGGCGTCCCGGGCCTAGGGCCTCCCACTCCTCTTGCAGGGCCCCGAGACTGGGCTGGGTGGACAGGGCTGTGAGCCCAGGCGAGCAATAGGGCTCTCACCGAGCGCGCCCAGGTGGCCGTAGGTCTCCCGCATCACGTCCCGGTACAGAGCCCTCTGCGCCGGCCGCAGACAGCCCCACTCCTCCGGGGAGAAGTACACGGCCACCTCCGCGAAGCTCACGGGCTCGGGTCTGCGCCCCACGAGGGCGGCCCCCTCTGGTCCCCGCGCGGGCAGCGGAGCCGGAGGCGGCGCCATGGGAAGCGCCAGCCCCGGCGACAGGCCAAAGCCGCGCCTGGCTTCGCGGGGCCTCGCGTGGTCGAGAGCGCCTGCCCCGCCAGCCCGAGGGGCGGAGCGCGGTCAAGAAGACCCGGGGCGCAGGAGGCAGCCTCTTCAGGGACCACGCGGATGACTAAAAGCGAAGAGTTGGTGGCCGTGGGTACACACAGAATCAGGACTGGAGAGCGCCTTCCTAAGAAATGGCGGCAACGCGGCCTCACGAACTTGGCTCCTACGCAGTTGTGCCCAGATGACTCCACCTCAGGGTCTCCGGGTTGCTCGGCTGCCCAAATGGCCGCGATGGCTACCAGTGCGGCAGCAGGCACCCCACCACGCCTGAGAGAGCCAGCGGCCCGGGCAGTAGCGGGCCACGAAGTCCCGGTTCGGTCCCCGGCCCGCCCCCCGCGCTGGGAGGCGCGGCCTCAGCCCCGCCCGCGGGCGGAGGCCACACCCAGCGCGGCGCGAGGTCAGCGTCTGGTTACCGCGGTTCCAGCCCTGACCCGCCGGCTCCGCTTTTGGGAATAAGGACGTTTTTTTTGTGGCTACGCCATTTATAATTGGGCTTCGGCCCATCACTGGGTGACCGCGTCTGGCTGAAGTACCTCCCACAGTGGGGTCAGGAGTAGGATCTCTTGCCTATGTGAGTCAGCTGGAAGCACGAGAGGTTACCTGCTGTAGTGGAAGCAGGTGCCGCAGTAGCTGCAGGCAAAGGGTCCTTCTCCAGCGAGTGCACTGGGCCAGGTTAGAGGTGATGGCAAAGCACGACTGCACTTGGGGCAGGAACGAGGGTATCGCATGAGTGGCACGTGTTGAGGTTGGGTGCAGATGGGGCGGTGAGTGGGTGGGAAAGTCCTGGTTACAGGGAGCCCTGGCTACAGGCACATAGACTAGATCAGTGTTTCTGATCTCAGGGGTTCATAACAACTCCCAAATAGACTTTTTCTCCTGGTCCTTTCCAAATATATTGTTTTTCTGAGTGGCTGTTGTGAAACACAGCAGATTCAAAACTTCCCCTGTTAATTCTCCAAGGTCTACTCATGTTCAGGTGACAGAATCAACTTTCACAGTGGCAGAAGCATTCAGGTAGGTACCTAGCCCCTGGAAGCAGCCCCTAGACTGTGTTCACCAATTGAGGGGCTGATGAATCAGGGATATTTTCCACCAATCTCAGGACCAACCAGAGGAGATACCCTCAACCAGAGGAGCAGCTGTTATAGAGTCCAGGACCTGGAGACAGAAAGGTGAGTTGCCTCCATCCTGAATTTGAATTCATACACTGCTATTGATCTAGAGTTTGGATATCTCATGCAGTGTGACCTGATCATGGGACCACTGGGTATCTTAAAGTAAATTAAGTGAGAAAGAGAAGGCCAAGATTTCAGTCTCCACTACGTGTCATAAATTCAGGTCAGCAAAAAAATTAGGAACAACTAGAGAATGTTTCTTGCTCAGCAGAACATTTTCCCTTCAAGCTGGAACTGAGACATTGCCCCCACTTCTTATCTTTCTGTCTTTCTTAGTCTTCCTCCCTACTGGTGATCCTGATCATCTGTACTCCACAACTGGGTTTCCTATTCCACCTGGGAATAGGAAATATCCCTGATTCATCAGCCCCTCAATTGGTGAACACAGTCTAGGGGCTGCTTCCAGGGGCTAGGTACCTACCTGAATGCTTCTGCCGCTGTGAAATGAGGGCTGGTTTGGGGTCTGGGAATCCTGGGGAAGAACCCTAACCACTCAAGAAACCTTTCTTAAGACTACATATGCATTCATTTAAAGAAAACCTATCAGGCACCTCTTGGTGCCAGGCACTGTTCTAAATGTTCTATTGTTAGAGACATTGGTGACCCAAGATAAAGTTACTGCTTTAAGTTTACACTAAGCTCTAAATTTACACTAAGGGAGAGAGATACCAGGTATGAGCTCTGCTGGCACAGGTGTGGAGACCTTTAGGCAGACTATACTCAGGGCTATAGAGATAGACACAGAGCCTCGATTCTGAGGAGACTCCAGCATGGGGCAAAAGAGCTCCAGGATTATCTTGGAGACAGAACTTGAGAAGAGCATTGAAGGATGTTACATTTGGAGGTTTAGTGTATACAGAGCAGAATAGCAAGAGCAAAGCCTTAAAGCTCCTTAAACTAGAGGTGTACAAAACCCAAGATTCTATTTGGCTAGAACTAAATGAGATTGCTTGCCTAGAGGGAAAGACGGTTTGAATTAGAGGTTAGCATGCCATGGGCCTTCGCATTGTGGCACAGGTTCTCAAGTTTTTGCAGGAAGTCCTGGAGAGCCACAGGAGTCTGGCATAGGACTCTCAGTTATGAATTTCAGTTAGGTTGATCTGGTGGGGAATCATAGAAAAGAGTCACCTGAGGCAGGAGTGGAATGAGTCAGGCACACTGCGTGGTCCATCTCATCCACCCCTTCCCTTTTACAGAGATCAGGGACAACCAGACCTCGAGGAGCATGCCCAGGTGGCTGTAGGTCTCCCCCATCATGTCCCTGTCCATTGCCCTCTGCACGGGCCACAGACACCTCCTGCTCTTTGAGGAAGAAATACAGTAGCAATGTAAAAAACATCCAAACCTGTAGATAAATTTTATAGGAGTTTGAGCCAAACTGACATATGCCAGGAGCAAGATTTCAAATGCTCTGGAGAATAATACACGTTTGCAATTTCTTTTATGCATTTGACATTAAGAAGGAGGCAAGGAAGACTGGAGAAAACAAAGTGGGGATTGGATTACAGGATAGTTAATAAGATTATGTGCTCTCTTGAGGGTTAACACCCCCTCATTAATAGGCTACTTGACCTTGGGTAAACAACTAGCCTTAGTTTCCTCCTCTGTGAAATAACCGAACTCTAAGGCACTGAGAGGCATTTGGCCCAATGTCCTCAGTTAAAGAGCTAGTAAATGTGTGGAAATACCACAGATGGAGATAGACACATACATAGTACATAGATAACCTCTGAAGGGATATTTAAGAAACTGTTAGGAATAGGGTGGGAGGAGGCTTCACAGAATATTATTCTGAATCGAGGGGAATTACTTCTGGTATTTCAAAAGTGTATTAACCTAGATGCACAAGAACAATAGCCAGGGCTGGCTTAAAACCTTTCATTAAAGAAGTTATAGGCCTAGGGCATGACCACCTGTCATGACCTGCCCAATTAAGAATTTATGATCAACTCACCCTGTGAGGTTACTTTCCATAGAACTCCTTTTTCCGTCTAGGAAGCTCAAAGCGCATGGTCCCCC